AGAAAAATAACTTTCAAAGTATTATAACGACTTAACTAATGTTTTCATCATGTAATATGAATACATTTTCTATATAACTAAAATGTGAATCAAAACTTCAGCTGCATTGCATGTTACGATTGTTCACCGTTCTCTGTTTCCTCTTGGTCATCTTCTTTAGGGWTTTCYGAKGTAGGAAGAGGCGGTAGCAACTCSTGCACTAGCTCTAGTATCCCATCTGAGTCGATTTCCCGATCATCAGGCTTCTCTATGATCTASAAGAGAGAAACAAGAGAGAAGCAATCAACAAAGGTTAAACGCAATGATAGATCATGAGATTTGTATAGTGAAGATAGAACGACAAAAGAAAACCACAAACCGGCATTAATTCGACAATAGAAGATGGCCGAAGATTGATGATATTGAGAATCTCAGCTTTCACGACTTTGAAACCTTTACACTTTTCGGCGAATTTGTTAACGCACTCTCGTGTTTGAGTGCAAGCAGCAGTCTCCACCAAATAATCATAGACCTGAAAAGATTATTCGAATTAGCACCAAAAGCATTCAACTTTCACTAAATAAGGCAAGTCACAAACAGAGATTTCGAGGTAAGAGACCTTGTATTCTGATCTAGCAATTGGAGCTATAACTCTTGTAGTATCTTTTGATGCACCTCTTGAGTTTAGGAAGTCAAGCACTTCGAAATTGGTAAGTGCACCTGCGTTTCCCTTTACTCTGCATTAAACCATGTCGGAATTTGATTACATAATAGAGAAGCAACCAACCAGAAAACAGCCATGAGATGCATTCTTTGATACTTTTGCTTAGGTGTCATCCTCTCAATTTTTTCAGTTTTTTTCTATTTAATTAAATCAATTAATTTAACTTTTGTTATTCCAATTTCCAAACAACTCTAATCCATCAAACTAGGAAACTTGATTAGTTTAAATCTAACTGCCAAACAAAATTCAACGTTATTTAATATTCAGAATTTCTTTTCTTTTTGTCTAATATTCCTAATTATTTAGTCGGGCCATTTAAGTTTGCAATATTGTTCTTTTTTTTTTAAATTTCGTTTATATCTCTACATATAAAAAATTTAACTATGAAAAATGTACATTTGACATTGAAAACTTTAAATTTATAACTCCAATACTAATGAACATAATACATGTATTAAATTTAGTATTTTTTATTAAATATACCATTAATTTTAAAATTTGAGACCTAAGAATGTTCTAATTACCTTTATTTGGTTATATTTACATTAGTTTACATTTATGAATTTTTAGTTATATCTTAAGTTTAATTAATTCAAAATCAAATGAAATATATAAAAAGTATATCTTAATTTAATATACTTTAATCATCAAGCACAAAAAAATCATTTAGGAACTATTTTAGGCATTATAAAACACCCAGATGATAAAACAAAATTAATCATTTAAGACACAAATTAACCAGTAAATAAGTTTAAGTGTGTCTATGGTATATTCTAAATTATTATTAAAAAAATAATCCTATGGCTTTTTCCCTTATTTTTAAAAGGATTATATGAATAATTTTTGTATTTAGTTCTTTGATTTAATAATGGCAACAATATTATTTCCTAACAAATTTGCGTGATATATCCCGAGATACACTATCAATTTTCAAACATTTTTCTATTTTTGTATAAAAAATGGCAAGCATTAATTATTGATAATTATTTATATATAAACCATTATTTTGTAATAAACTGACAATTGATTATGCTATTATGGTGCACCCGAAAATATTCCAGTTGAAGATACAGACTTACAAATTAAAATTCAGATATTAACGAATCAAATGCAGTTTTTTTTAAGCCACAATACAATAAAATTCGCAACTAACTGAATTCTCCATATGTGAATTTTACTATTTATAAAACAATAACAATCTAAGAAATATTCCACACGTAATATCTTTATGAATTTTTGCATATATTTTCTTTTTAATGTTAATGTTAATAAATAGTGGAATACTCATGTAAAATACCATAATCAGGAAGAGCATATAACATATAGATTTAGAAATTGTGATTTGTAAGTAAATCATGATTATTTGTTAAACTTTTGTGTGGTTTACCCAATAAGTCTTTTTTTTTAAAACACTGGATTTTTATCCAATAAGTCTAATCTAATTAAATTCCCGCATTAACTATAAATTGTTTTTTAACAAAAATTGTCAAATTTATAAAATAATTTTTTTATCATAAATATTTTACTCCACGCACAGCGCGGCTGCTATCCTAGTATATATAAAAGGACATACATTTTCATTGAGGTACAGAAATGTTTTCTTGAATTTGCTTCCAACCAAACGAAAACGTTAATGGGAAGAGAACACTACGAGGCAGAGCTCCTGAAAAGTCAATGGGAAGATCAACATCAACATCAGATGTTGTTTGTTCCCAAAATCAAGTATCTCACTAATTATCCAGGACACATTTTACAGCTAAACAGTTTACAAATCAAGATTGTAATGAAAATCGAAATCATATAGTCACTGTCAGTACTTAGCACACTAAGAATCGAAGCTTAAACATCAGTGCATTAAACAGTACTCTATGACATAACATAAGCCAATGTATCCATCACCCTATAGTAAACCTCTCTTGCATTAAACAGTACTCTATGTAACTCATAAAAAATTCTAATAGTTTTAGATAGATACATAAATCTGAGCTCATAAAACATGAGTAAACAAACTCAAATCGGTTTTCGCAGATTCCAAAATGCCTTGTCTAAGCCGCAATAGTCCAACTCGAAGAAAGTTACACACTATCACATATGTAGCAACGATATGCAAACCAAAATTCATTGGCAAACAACATGAAGAAATAATACAGAAAGATGATTGAAATAAATGACTGCAACCTTCAAAATGATCGATCACAGAAGATTAAAAATGCAATTCAATAGACAATCACAGCAAAATTAGTTGACAGGAACAAAGCTGAAGAAGCATAATCCGAACTAAAAAACCGATCTTGTTCTGGGAAACTTGAATATTTCATAGAAATTTCATCCTCCTAACTTGTAAAAATCTTCTCCAACAACCAATTCACCAACTCGGATAAAATTACACTAACCCATAAATCTAAGCGACCACAAGAAACCGGGAAAAAAAAAATTCCCCGTTTTTCAAATTTCCTCAACAAAACAAATATATTGCCTCAGAAATTGAGTGGGAAAGAGCAAAAGAACCGACCTCAATCATGAGCTCGAGTTTGTTCGTCTGAGAAAATACGAAAGAAAAGGAGCAGATTTTGTCGAAGAAAAGGTGAAAATTGGAAGCTTGAATCTAAAAGCAATGAGAAAGATTGTAAATTTATTAACAAGGGAAGGAGAAATGGGGGAAGAAGCGCAGGCCGGTCCTAAGATTTCTGAGGCCTAATACGAAATTAAAAATTGGGGGCT